GATCGGGGGGGGGGGGGTGGGGGCCGCCAGCGGGTTTCCGGGGGGGGGGGGGGGGTGGGCACCCCCTCGAAGTGGCAGACCATCAAAAAAATAGAAAACGGGGGGGTCCTAAACATGGGCCTGGCAAGGTGGGCCGGAAAAATTCATGCCTCCCAGTTCGATCAATCAATCAATCACTCAATCAATCAATCAATCAATCACTCAATCAATCAATCAATCAATCAATCAATCAATCTATTGATTGGATTGATTGATTGATGATTTTTTTTTATTTTTTTTTGAACAACGAGAGAGAGAGAGAGAGAGAGAGAGAGAGAGAGAGAGAGAGAGAGAGAGAGAGTGAGAGAAAGAGAGAGTATGAGAAGAGACACACACACACACATACACATACACAAACACAGTGCCCACACACAGTGCCCACAAACACAGTGCCCTCAAACACAGTGCCCACACACAGTGCCTCCACAGTGCCCAAACACGCCCTACCTAGTGCCCATTGCCACCTCGAAAAGGGCCGAAACGGCCCTACGGGCCTTTTTTTTCTTTTTTTTTTGGTTCCGTTTTCTTTTTTCTGTGCGACATGCAACGTCGGACACCGGGAAAAAAAATATGGGCGTGTAGGGCTTTTTCAGCCCTGCACGCCCATATTTTTTTTATTTTTGTTTTTGCGTGAAAATGTGGGAAAAAAATTCCTGCACCAAACTCGGCTGGTCGGCCGTGGCCGAACCCAGCCAATTTGGCCGACGGCCCCGGCCGTGACCGGGCGTGCAACACAACAGCCAGGTCAACGTCCCTACAGCCCCACAGCCATACCCAGGTCCTGCATCCGTGCGTCCACAGTTCCAACCACAAGTCCAAGCCCAAGTCCGACCCTAGGTAGACCTGAAAACAGCGTTGGGCCCAGACCCAGGTCAACGGGGGTGCAGGGGCAGACCAGCGCTAAGGCAACGTGTGGGACTGGACATGGGCTGGAACTTGGACCTCTGCTTTGAAAGGAGGGAAAAAAAGCAACAAAAAGTGTCATAGCCTGCACATGGGCCCGCACAACCTCTTAAACCTCAACCCGGACCCAACACCCAGGATTTAGACCTAGTTTGGGCCTTTCCGCAGCTCCAGACCCAAGTGTTTGTCTGCCTGCCTGCGTTGTCGCACCTTTTCCTAGTTGCGGTCACTTCGGACAACCAGAAAGCCAACAGGCTGTCACGCAGGATTTTATTGTTGATTTCAATAAATAAATAAATTAAATAATGCAAATCCCTTTCATTTGTGTGCGTCCGACTTCGAGCGAGACCCTCCAATTACGGTCTTCGCCGGTCCACGGTCTTAGGAATCTTTTATTCTGCTTCGGAACAGTAGAGAATCATGCAAATAATAATTGTGAAATAGGTGAGTGTTATGCATGCATCAATTACGTTAGTCTGATTTTGAGAACTGTGATGGAACCTTTAGAGAACTACAATCATCAAGCATGGCAATGCAAGAAGCAAGACCGACTGACTCGAGCAATGACAAAGTCAAATAAATGAGGGAAAAATGAGAACTCAAAATAGTCGCAGGAAGTACATATGGAAGAGAGCATGGTCAACACCAATCAGGAGTCCTCACTCATCCCTCTAAGCTTCACACTCAATCTCTCATTTTGTTGTCTGTCGTTTGGGCTTCTTGCCATGTCTCCGTACTCTCTGAGGTTGTGGCTTCTGTATGTAGAGTCATCTGAAGCCTACAAGCTCTGAAAGTTTTCATCCAAGTCCCATGATGCGGAAATCAACCATGGCACAAAACTCCTCCCATAGTGTAGGAAGATATGGCTGAGAGAAGATACCTCGTCTTAGATGTGGGAACTTGGATGGCTCAGTCACTGCTTCGTAATCAATCACTGTAGGGGAGATGTACCTCTTGGCTAGGTCTACAAGGTCACCCCAACATGATCTGTTAGTAAAGTAGTAAGGAACCGGAGGTTTGGGGTAGTTTGTAAAGAGCTTGGGGCCAAAGTTGTAAACCAGCTTCGATTCCCCCTTGAGTCTCTCAGCTTTTCATTGTACGAACCTCGCTGCTGCCACCCAAACAGCATCAAAGCGCGGATGTGACTCATTCCCTTTTTTCAGATATACCCGCAGGTCCCTTACAGCGCCTCCTGCAAATTCTGTAAGAATGACGAAGATTGACAGATCTTCACACTTGAAGCCGTCAATCTTAACATAGCAGTATGGGAAACTTTCCCTTGAGGATACCCGATTGAGACTGTCGAGGACAGGCTGCTCGACTGAGATGGGGTTAATCTCTCTCATGTGTTTAGGTGAATAGTTACTTCGTGATAGAGGAAGAGGAGACTATGCTTGATTGAATGACGTCCACTGCGGACTAAATCAACCGTTGTCCACTGAATAGACGTCAACTGCTAATGGACTGGTGAATTCTTGGACGCTTTTTGAGTGTTGCTTGAATGCCTTTTTGAATGCTATTCTAGATACTGTTCTGGATGCTGTTCTGAATGTTGTTCTGAATGCTGTTCTGAACGCTATTCTGAATGCTGATCAGAAAACAGATTGACTGTTGATTAGAAAACTGATTGACTGCTGATCAGAAAACTGATTGACTGCTGATCAGAAAACTGATTGATTGTTGCAGCCAAAGTAGTAAGTCTCTGTACAATGGTCAATTAATGACTAGTGCAGCTATTGCTCTGCTGGTATCTAACATCTGAGATATCGATAAAATACTAATAAAACACTGATTAATTGCCGACTGAACACTAACTGAAAACTGATTGTATGTTGTTTGATCACAGATTGAACACTGAATGAGAGCTGATTGCTGGGGTATCTTCTGACGAAAACACTGTCAAACTGATAATGATCTCTAATGCAGTGGTAAAGGTTAAATGCAAAGTTCGTTCCCAGCTGTCACCCGTTTGAGGGTCTGATGACCGAGTATTTGCCTGAGACACAATTCACTAGCCCCTAATCCCTTAGTAGCAAAGAGCCAGTAGGTTTACAAATCATTGAATTGCAGGTCGAGATGCCAACACCAAATTTAAACTGCAGAGTCCAAACCGAAACATTGCCCCCAGACCTGGTGAGGTGATGTCTTCACCGCACTCAGTTTTGAATGTCGGGGCGTGTTTCCACTCAATCTATTCCCTTACCATGTACGTTCAACAAGTGCTTCCATCTTTTCCTTCTTTTACTGTTTTGTGACTGCAGGCTAGATTCTGATAACACACCGTGAGTGCAAGCAGTTCGTCTCTTAGTAGCACTGAGAGCTTCTCCTTACTTTCGTCCCCTGAATGGCACGGTGTACAACTCGTCCCAAAGTTCTCGTCCATCATCTGTCTTTTGCAGAGTAGCAAAAAACTGCTGGTCTCTTGAGACACAGCGACCAGGATGGTTCTAGAGAACAGTAATTATGGATTCACTGCTGATATTTGACAACTTCCCTTCCCTTTTGCCTGACCAACAGTTTCGGTGAAAGAAAAGATACTGCGTAAACTCTCGTCTGACTCATGGAAATAGATAGTATACTCGATACCTTTCTGTCCTCTCACTAACTTCAACGCGTGCTCTCTCATCAATTCAACTTGGGATCGGACATCTCTGATAATGCTCTCTTCCCAGTCTTCTGCTTTGTCTCGGAATGGTGCGTAGGTCACCCTTAGCATGTCCTCACTTCCCATCTCCCTATTGAGGTCTATTACACCGGGACTAATGACTTGCTCTTATATGGGTTCCTTCTTTATCTGTCAGACAGTCCTGATACACTAAGTAGGAGTTATTCTCAGCAGTGTGGCTAGAACGCGAGTCTACTCATGCACGTTCTACTCATGCACGAGTCCACTAGTGCTGGGAACATGTAAGTCACTAAGAGAACAGTTGGTCGCAAGGCACACACGAAATCTGCAGTTAATATGAGTAGTTTGCAGGATGTTCTTTTCTTTATCCGCTCTTCGTGAGAGTTCTCCCTAACCGACAGTGTTGCATAATAGTCCTTTTACCCACTTAGCGTGGGGTAAATGTACTCCATCAGACCTCTCCTTCTGAGTAGAGCGCCGAACACAGCTATCACAAACCGTGCTCGGGTAGTACCCAGGCTGCTATTTAGTGTGGTCCCTACCCAATTAACACCCTAACATCTCTAATATTGAGCACAAATCGTCCATTGTATAGGACATCTCCGACAGTGGTTTGATTGCTACAAAGATCTGGGTGACTCTGATTTCACGACTCAAAACTCGAAAAGTCGGGTAACCACTATCTGGACTACCGATTGCAGTGAGTTAGACCAAGGGTTGATCACTCAGGCTAGTATTGTATGTCAGACAGAAATGACACACAAGAGAAATAAGGTGCACACTTCAATCTATTATGTTTCTGAGCAGCTCACATTGCTAGGAAAATGATGTGATAAGCACTAGTCAATCACCATCAAGCAAAAATTTGGTGATGAGATAAACCACCTTTCTCATAATGACCTCTCGCCACCCCATTTAGTGAGTGACGTCTCGGAAAGAAGGAAGAGAAGGGATTCAGCATTCTGTGAACAGTATTCTCATCTGATTACCGTCGTCTTCTCGTTAAATTATCGGGTCAGCCCCCCCTTTTTCCTATTTCCTTTTTCCTTTTGTGTGCCTCGCGTTACATTCCATGAACAATTTTAACATCAAGTACTCCCCCCATTCTGCAACATCACATCACCACAATTGCCCATCATTTACTCAAGCCCAAATTGGTAAACAAGGAGACGATGAACTTGGAACTGGAAAAAAAAAACCTTTCTCGGAACCCTTTTAATTAATGGCTGCCCACCTTTACCACAAAGGTCTTGAATCTGGGGCTTGAGCAGTTTTACCAAGATTCCGTACCTTTATCCATTAACCCGCAATTGAGAGCTACAGTACCTTTACTCTGACAATCTCTTGCACAACACACCCGACTCAGGTTTGCGATTTGCACTTAGAGTCAGTTATCACCTCCAAGATTATTCTAGTTCAGCATAGCCAGGTCATTCGCTCGTTCACGATAGAGACCCCACCTCCCTCACTGTTGAGAGTGCTCATGCAGAGAGGGGTTCAAATCAGATTGAGCCCCGACTGACAACTGAACTGTTGGCAAAACCAAAAGCAGATCCCACTCTCACGACCCTTACTGGTTTTGTTCCTCCATGCTGACAGACCGTAACCGAGCTACCCGTTAAAGTAGGACGAACTGAAACGGAATAAATGACCAGTATCAAGTCTAAAGAACTTAGATACTCACGGCGCTATGGCCACAAACAAGCTCCGAGTATGCTCCGTTCCTCTTTTGATCCTGGTTCGTAAGTGTGGGTAATTTCGCATGCTCTCTCCCGACCATTTGTACATCAAGAGCTGAAAGCAGGCAAGCATGGAACCAAAGTTAAGATAAAATTTGTATCATAAAAGCGTTGACCTTTGCAGTGATCTCACGAGTATGCTTTCTCAAATAGACCTTCTCTTCTCTTATGTAAACGTCAGGCGTTTGCGTGCACACATGCCCTCTTGTCTGTCTCCCCTCTCTTTGTCCTGTATGTAGATGATGGTCTGCACATCGTCACACCGTTTGTGTGCTTACCGATGCAGATCGAGTATAGCGCCCCTTTCGCCCTCTTATTTCAAGAAAGATTGGTAACAACAACAGAGGACCTTGTGGAAAGGAGTTCCTCTGACCATGGCGCAGACAATAAGAGAGCAAGAAAAAAGGTGGCACCTAGTGATACACGCTTAGGACGAGGGAGGCATCATCGAACGTCGATAAACCAGTTGGTCTTCTTTTGGTCGTGGTCACGCTATAGTGCGTCAGTTTAGCCCAGATGTTTCCACATACATCCACACTGCTTGCTTCATGCACGTCAGTTCACCGCTGTCCCTAATTAACAAGGATAGCAGATGGAACGGTCCTCAGTGGGTTACCGTCCAGGCCTCGAGAGGATGAGAGTAGTCTGTGACGTCAAACTCAGCTTCCAACATTGACCTTCTTCTTGCCTCTCTCATACTACACGTGCCACTCACTCACCGCCCTCACTCTCTGGTTCGTCCGCTCGATCGTACGACGTCCTAGATACCCCCCGAAACTTCCCCCTTCTCTCTCGAGAAGAAAACTCCCACGTACACCCTCTCTCGTTTTTGTTTCACCTATCTCCTCTCTTTTCCCCGTTCTCGCTTGTTCTCACTGTCGCATCGTAACTGCCTCGCCGCGTGTGCGACCAAAATCAGGTCCGCCGTCTCTTTACTCGCATCCCTGTCGCGCAAAGCCTCACTTCTTGTTCGGCCAGAGCTCGCGCATAAACTCTCTCCTTTCTGCTCATTCGGTGGTCGTTATCAGTGGTGATTGCCCACTGTCTTATCTCCACGCACGGAGGTTAAGCTGACGTCAACAAGTAATCTCTTGGTCACCATTGCTCGCGTCTCTCTCTCTCTCTCTCTCTCTCTCTCTCTCTCTCTCTCTCTGCTTATCCGAAAGGTTGTCTCAACGGCCACTGCACCATCTTCACGCACGGAGACCAAGCTGTCAACGTGTAGTCTCTTGGTCACCACCTGCTCGTATCCTCCTTTTTGCGACTCTCTCGCTCATGTTGACCTTCGGGGTACTTCTCTCTCTCTCTCTCTCTTTCTCTCTCTCTCTCTCTCTCTCTCTCTCTCTCTCTCTCTCCACTTATCGATCACGCACACTTCTTTCATTTTCCTCCCGCCTTTTCTGTCCCATGCCCTCTGGAACTCCGTTGCCGTGAGCTGGCCTCAAGGCCGCCCTCAGCTTGTCATGCCTGAGGGTGGTTCTTGTGAACCTCGCCCGACCTGTTCCAGGACTGAAGATCGGTTTTCCGATCTTCAGCCTCACTCATCTCACTCTCGCCGCCTGAGTCCCTGTCTAGGTGGGCATGTTCCCGGTCTATCGTGTCGGTGGAAGTCTCCACCTCATGATACGCCACTGTCACTAAGTCACTCGGATCCTCGCGGTAACTCTGTCGCTTCTGCAATGCCTTTCCGAACGATCCCTTGCCTCCGTGATTGCATCCTACAGATTAGAGTTAGTTCTCATTTCTCCCTCCTTTGCCCCCTCTACGTTGATTTTCAGTTTGATCTCATCTCCCCCGTCACAGTTAAGCATTGTCGTGATCCAGGGCCCCTCACCAGACATTGGCCTCCAACGCGTCTGGAGGTTCCAACGGTCCGGACTATGGCCATGTAGGGCCATGACTACGCGCTTCCCATAATAGCCCGTACTTGGCACTGGGAGCGCACGCACACAAACAGTCAACTGAGACTTTCCCCACTCTGATGGCGCCGGCACCACAAGGTAACTCGGACACACCCCGTTCTCAGTCGTCGAGCAACCCCTCTCGCCCCTTTTGTAGGCCCCCTCTTTAGCTGCAGCACCGTGCTCTAAATGGAGGCTCAGACGACCTTCGAATTTCAGCTTACTAGCGGTCTATAATTTTTCTTTTGAGTAATACAACTGAAAAGAAAAAGGAAAAGAAAAACAAAGTGATGGTACACCCGCAGCCACAGCACGGGGTGAAACGACAACTTCGCTCTTTGCCTCTGTCATTTCGCCTTGCTGTGAAATGATTGAGACTTCAAGGCAGTGGTCCCATAATGGGATACCGGCGATTATATTTTTCCTTCTTAAAATACAGCGTTAGCCTATCCCAGTCGGGTACCCGTGTCCGATGGCAAGGAGGGGGGTTATGACCCTCCATGTGGGGTGATAGGCTCCCTA